ATTTACTAATTTGAAGTACTTTACCTTTTTTCTTTCTATTCAATATATTCATTATATCATTGAAAGCTTTAATTCTTTTACCTCATCTACCTTTTACCTTAACACCAATAGGATTATTAATAGTTTGAGCAAATTCCTCAGATCTATTACTTCTTACAATTGGATTCTCCTGATTTTTAAGATCTTGTTCCATCTCTTTAATAAGGTTCTTATGAATTCTATAGAGCTCATCTAATTTGTTTGTCATAATTGCTAAGTTAAATATCTTTTTTAGCATACCAAACTCTTTACTCCATTGTTGTCTATGTGCTATCTCATGATTAACAGGCTTAGTAAAAATATGCTTTCTGCAGATACTTTCTAAATATGAAAAGTCAATATTTGTAGTGTGCTCAAGTTCATTATTTAAAAATACAGTAGTTGCTGCTTTATTTTCAAGTACTAAAATATTTTCAATTAATACATCTCAGTACCAACATTGTGGTATAAGCCTAATATGGAATTTTGCAACTTTTGAACCTAACATTACTGTAAAAAAATAGTAACATACAAGGCCACAATTTATCAAAGTTAAACACCTGCAAAGATGTCTGATATTATTATAAAGTACAATGAAATATATACTTTTTTTGTCTAATAAAAAAACTCTCCAGATTTCATGAATTCAAATCAGCTATTAATTCATCTAATTCAATGATGTTTGTATCAAACATGTTTTCTGAAAACATTCTATTCAGTGATTCATTGCTAAACTATAAAAAAAAAATAAGCAAACAATATATATAGCTTTATTGCTAACCTTATTAATAAAAAATACTTTAGCTTATATAAGCCTGTCATTTAAATCAGTAATATGTTGGCAATGATAATTTATACTATAGTTGATTTTATTTTGTTGGAGTTTCAAAATTGCAGATATTAGAAAATTTTTATATAAAGTATTAATATAAACGAAGTATCTGCTATAGTAGCTTTTCTCTCTGTTTACTAGAAGCTGTTCAACAGTTTCATTAATATGCACAAACTGATTTTCTTTTTCTAATAATTTATTGATATTATACTCCAACTCTAAAAGACTTGATAATCTATTCATCTAATTTTTAACTATAGCATTGTGTTATAATATATAAGTAAACTCTTTCCAATGATTACTTGAACTACATTTTTTGAAAAACATTTTACTGCAAGAAGAAACTTTACAAGTCAGCACTTAACATACTAGATAGTAAGACAGCACCTGTTGTTTAGAAGTAGTTCTCATATGCTACTTGCTGATAGGCTTAGAGTTTATTACTTACTGCAAAGTGTTAGCACTTGTTATTTAGAGGTAGTTCTTATATGCTACTTGGCAACAAGCTCAGAGTTTATCACTCACCAAAAAAATGTTAAACAGGTGTTAGGCAGTGGATCTTGACTGTAAAAAAAAAACTTACACTCCTTTAAATTGGTTGGAAGCTCAAGTGGTTCCTCTTTACCTCTTGTTATTTTTCTGTTGGTCTTTAAAATTTTTTATAAAAAGTGAGAATTTGGCTTATCCCCTTCAAAAGATCAGCATTGTTTACTTACCAAATCCGAATAGACTAGTAGATAGCAACTACACGTTTAAAGACAAATACATTGTATGGGCCCTGGAATAAGTCTCAGTCAAAAAAGGAATTTCTGGTGGTGGCAGCAAGTGGCTTGAGATATGAGTACCCGAGTGATGGCACCTTTATAGAAATATGGCGATCTTGTAGTTATTGGCGCTATATATAGAGAGTTGAATCTTAGTACAGCAGCAACACTTGCTTGAGATACGAACTAGATTATTAAAAAAATTCGAAAATGGGGCAGAGAAAATTTTAAGGTTAAGTTTAGTCTTACAACAGAGATATACAGATATTGCATCTGGTATATAATTTTTAAATTGCCTAGCATGGGTTATAATAGTGCATCAGATCACTTACTTTGTTCTTTTTTCTGCTTGTTTCATCTATTTTCATTTATATTAGAATTGGTTTAGGTTCCTTTTTTCTTTTTTTCTTGCTGTATTATTTTCTTTTTTGTGTTCTGTTTTCTTTTTTTTAGAACAATTTCTATTTTTTTAGTTATGAGGGAGCTTTTAGAGATTTTCTTTAAATTTAGTTTCCTTCATAATTTTGGCATGTATGTTAGTCTTATGTAGAAGTAGAAAGTAATATAATTTGCAGAATCTAAGTAGATTGAGTTCAGAAGAAGGTATACCAAAATTTAAGGTGAAATAAGTTTGAAAAAGGGATTGGCTCTTAAAAGAAGTCTTTCTTTTGTAAATTGGCATATATATTTGCACTACAGAGAAGTAGAAGAAAATATATTCTGCTCAAACATTGGTGGAATAAGTCTAGAAGGAAGGTAAAATATAATCAGTTCGAATGTAGGTAGCTGAGTACCAAGCTATAGCAGGTTTTTAAATATAGGTATCACTGTATATAAAGCTTGTTGGCAACATTAGTGCAATAACCATACTTGGGCACTTTTATAGCAGCTGGGGTTTTGTCTAATCCATAAATTAAATAGTTAATTTTGTAAATTATATAAACTCTAATAAATTAGTGTGAGATTATCAAAGAAAAAAAAAATTATAGCATTGTATGATTCAATGTGTTGTGTACTTTGTATATCTGCATTGAATGCTCTGTGTGTAAAGCAAAGGGCCCATGCATCTCTGTATGGATAAAGCTGGAACTGTAAATAATTAGAAGTATTACTGTATTTTTGCAAAAATTCAGTTCATCTTTTTTCAAAGATTGATTCAATGTGACTATTATATATATAACAGAAGTCTTGAAAAAAAGATTTTCAATTGTTATGATACTTTCTAATAAAATGTTTCTCCAAATTTTTATGAATATGAAACAAGCAAAAATATTGTTTGGTTATTGGCAAAGAACAGTTTATAGCTGCAATCATCACTAGGTTAGCATCTGTACAAATCAGATATGGTGCTAGTTTATTAGTTGCTTTAAGAATATTTGTAAATAACCACATAAGTATCTTTAGTTTTATCTAAAACAATAGCATTTGCTACAAGGTGTGAATGATTGTGATTATCTACTAAGACTATAACACACAATATCATTGAATACTGGTTGGTTTTTGCTATAGAATCTAATAAAACAATATCATGAAACCTAGCCTATAATTGTTGTTAACTAGAACTCATCCAAAAAAGCCTAGTTAAGTAACTATTATTTTCTTTAAACTGTACATCAATATAAAAGGTGGGATCTACTTGTTGTCTTTTTAAAAGCTCAAGAAATATTTCCCTATTATCACTTATATTTTTGTCTTGTGCATGTAATGACTGAATTATATTATACACGTTATGAGTATGAATATACTTTTTTAGATATTTTTTTTGTAAAACTTTAGTGATTGCTTCAGCATGCACTTCACTAGATACAAGTATTTTTATTTTATTACATATTTCTAGTATAAGCTTCCAATAATGTGTTGAGACTATTTCTATATTTTTGATAAATGTATGATCATGCTAACTACCAATTTTAGGGGAACGTTAAAGCCAGGTTCATTTAGGGTTAGTTTTTTTGATGCAGTTAGGGTTGCGGCCCAAACCTACTAGTTTGGGATTTGGTAGAATCCCAAATAGTATTTACTAGGTTTCGCAAAATGCCTCTAATTTGCTGTAATGTCAAATATTCTGACATAAATTATATTATGATTTGAAATCCCAAATTTTTTATATGTAAAATTGTGTTTGGGACTCATCCCAAACAAAGAAATTGTTTAAAGCCCGGCACCTTGGCCAATAAGATCATGAAATTTTGCCATCAAACCGTGATTTACCTATAAGTTACCTTGTTGTGCATACCCACTTCGTACACTCCATTTTTAATACACGTTATTCTGGATATATTGACAATTTTTTTCATTAGCAAGAAAAATTTTGAAAATTTTTTGATATAGAAAGATTTTACTATGATGTCATTATATTCAGCTTAAATAGTTTTATATTTAAAACAATGACTTGGCGGACATATCATCATGGTATTATAGAATTATATTTCTTTAATCACATATTTCGATTGCATTTACTTATTACATCATTTAACTTATGCATACAATACTTCAATTTTATATAGAAATCTCAAATTATAAGAATGATTTGTCTAATCAGATGCATTTAAATATAACTATATCCTTTGTTGTACTTTATTCTTGATATTATTGGACAATCTAAGTTTTAAATTCTGCTTGTTTTTTACCTGGCTAACAATAAAATAAACAATCATTTGGCAATTTTATTTGTGCTTACAAGTAAAAGAGACATTGATATTCCCAATATTCAAACAAAATTTTTTACATGTTTTTGGCTTAATAACTATATTTAATTAATTGATAATCGATCCATGATTCTTGAATTGAATTAGATTATCAATATTTAAACATATTTTTTGTAATAGATTGATAGTTTTGAGTTTGATACCATTTACCGAAATGAGATACATATTTGGGTTTTGGTTATGAATCCAAACTAGGTAGAAATGCCGATTCCCAAACTCAAACTAAGTAGAAACGTCGTAACTAAAAAAAAGTGTTTGGGCCACAACCCTAGATGCAGTTAGGGTTATTTGCTTTATAAAGATATCAAGAATGCAATTTTATGCAATTTGTAGATCATTATATAATGAACCTGGCTTTAACAAGCCCCAATTTTAGTTATATAGATTACATTATCCTTTTTGTGCTAATATGCATTTATATAAAATTCACAATTATTAGTATAATAAACTCTGTTATGCTTCTCAATACAATGTGCCTCTTTTTGTAAAATATATAGCCTTTCTTTTATACATCTATAAACATAATATTGGGATTCCTTATCTCCTTGTCTTTTTTACTATGAGTAATAGTAAATGTGAAACCTTGCTCCAACCCATAACTATCACACTATCTAAAAAAAAAACTTCAATACTATAGATATCAAAATATATAATCAATAGATTGCACTAATAAATTTTCTATCTATCTAGCTCTGCCCAATGTTTAAAATCTATTTTCAAGGTAATAGGATATACAAGTTTTTTACCATTATCTACTTGATCTTCAATAGTATCAGTTGCTTCCAGATTATTAATTTCTGTCAAGTAAGGAATTTCATTTGATATTAATAATTCACTACTCATGTTATTGAATTCAGAAATGATATTTCTGCAGAATAATCCTCAATATTTGAAATTAGTAAAACATTTATTATCTTTATAAACTGTGTGACTATAATAATGGAATATATGATTATAACAGGGAACCTATATAATGTATAGAATATTAGATCAAGACACAAAAATATATAATGTGCTTGTTAAGTTAACAAAATTAAAAGCAGAAAACCTTATATTCTCTTTTGGAACTAGAACAGATAAATTAATCAAAAGTCATTTATATTATGCAACAATAAAGTGGAATAAATAAAGTATTGGATAGAAGAATAAACTGAGTACAGTAATCATATTTTTATTATGTACAATCACAAAAAAAAACTTGTGCTAATAAGAATAGTCTGCATAATGATTTATATTTTTCTTTAGAGCTAACAAAGGCAAATTAATAATATGCCTGTATATTATACAATAGTGATATAAATATAGATCAATAAATGAAGTATTTAAATAAATTGAGTGCAGTAATCATGTTTTCTAAACAACCACAAAAAACCTTGTATTATAAGAATAGACTGCACAACAATAAGTGAAAAGTAGATCACAGTAAAACTCTAATAAGAATAGTCTGTGCAAAATAATGCAAAATATATGTTAAAGTATCATTTATTTAGTTGTAAAAAAAAAAAAAAGTGAACTAGACATGACATGTATTTACATTCTCTTGAAGTTTGCAAAAAAAAAAAGGGTGCTAGTTTTTATACCTCCTATATTTATTAATCATACTTTTCTATCAAAACAAAACCTTTGAGCAACAATATCTTGGTAACCACCTGATAAAATTCAATAAAAAGTTTTTTTATTTTGATTCTATTAGTTTAGTTAAATTGAATAAAAAAAATTTTATTGAATTTGATCAGGTGGTTGTCGAGATATTTTTGCTCAAAGTTTTAAAAAAAACTCAACATATTTATCAAAATAATTCTTTAAAACTTTGTACGAAGATATCTTGACAACCACCTAACCAAATTTGATTAAATCTTTTTTATTCAATTAGGCTAAACTCATATAATCAAAAGAAAAAAAAATTCATCGAATTTGATTAGATGATTATCAAGATATCTTCGCTCAAAGTTTTAAAAAAACTCTAAAATAAAGAAGCTACAGTCGTCCCTCCATATAGTCACCCCCCATATAATCACATCATATGTAATCACATTTTCATTTAGCCCAAACTATAATTTAATTTAAAAGAAAAAAAACCTCCATACAAGCACAACCCTTTATAAGCACATTTTTAAAAAAAGTTACTAT